ATATATATACACACACACACATAACATGAGAGAGACTGAGGCCTGAGGGCCTCTTGCTAAGTCCTTATACACTGCTTTATATAACTTTATATAAGATATTCAAATGGAAAAGTATGAACATACACATTCTTAAATACACATATTACATCAGTAATACATTATTCCAATATTCAAAGGCATACAGCACATCAGGCTAAATATAGGTTTGCATTTTATTTTGGTCTTTTCGACCAGACTGTGAGAGGAGAGAGAGAGGTGTGCAATAGTAGTTATAGTCTTTATTTCTAGAATAAGTCTTATTTAAGGATTAGCGAACTTCTAAAACAGTGATTACTATGCATAAGTGAATGACACTAATTACATATACTCATACATATGTATGTTTGCTCAGATCTGAATGTATTCTTGAGTTGAGAATCAGAAATCTTGTTTTTTTTTTTAAAGAAATTTGTTGAAAATACTGTTAGTCATCTCCATGAGCACTTTAAATTATTATGACTTCAGTAACATATTGTAATGTTTTTTTATTATTTTAATTTTTATGAAATTAAAATATTTTATTTTAATGAAATATGACAGAACATCGCTTCTAAACCAGGCTTTTGTTGTAGAATCTCCCACCTAGTCCCTTAGTTCTGCCTAGGTCCTCTCTGCAGTGGAAAAATAACTTCACTCGATTTTGCTTCATAAGATATCACACCCACGTGTAGTTTCACTGATTATAAGAGAGTGAAATATAGGAACTGAACCTTTAGTCACTGATTCTTCATTTTCTGGTACCTTTTTGTTATTCCTTGGAACAAGTTTGTCAGTTCTAGGTTGTCATCAGACATTCTTTGATTAATTGTGATATTGGATGTGAATTTCCTTTTGTTAACTAAAATTAGATTTAATAATTAGATTGCAGGACTGTGAAAAGGATTTTCTTTAAATATTTCATGCTGATTTCTTTCTTGGGAAATTGTACAATCTGAGAAACTATAGTCATTAGAAGATCAGTTTAGTCTTTGTTCGTTCTTTTAATTACCGTCCAGGTTCCGATGTATGTAATACCTTGTGTTTGACAGTATCTTTTTCCTTTTTAAAGGTCTGATTTTTTTCCTTTCTTCTGGGTACCTCATGTATTATGCATTAATATTATATTGTCATCAAATGTTGATGATTGTACCTTCTGCTTAGAAAAAAACTAGCTTGATGGACTTGCAGGTGACAGCCCCATGCAGACTGTCTTAGGTGATTTGCTTTTTCTTTATCGTGTAGAGTTGGAGTGGAAATTGTCTGAGTCTGGAGCCATCAAGACAGACCTGGAGGAAAACCCTAAGAAACCAGTTGAAGATGCGTTGCTGTCCTCGGTGCGGTGCGCCGTCCCCATGAGGAGGGGCAGTGATTCTGAGGACGACTAAGGCTGTGGCCGCAGGAATTTGCCCAACTTCCTTGATGTGACAGATTGTCTGGACTCTTTTAAAAAAGGAAAAAGTAGGAATAAGTCCTTTGGCTTTTAGCTTTTTATAATTATGTTTCAGATCTCTTAGATCTCAGAAATAATCAATCATTGCTGGGAATCCTATTAAATTTTTTGAAACTGTCTTTTTAAATTAATAATATTTCCTTAAAAAAAAGTAAAATAAAAACTGGTTATTAGTATGGCAAGTGTCTGTGTTTTTCTTCCTATATTTTGAGGAAGCTGTAAAACTACTCACTACTTATTTGCATATAACTATATAAAAAAGAATGTGTTTTTAAAAAATGTGAATAAATTATACAGTGGAAAAGTACAAACTAAGCTTTGCAGTTACATAATTTTTAATTTTTATTATGTTATAAAGGTAGCAACAGGATTAATGACTCGAATGATAGGAAAACTATTTTGATATTTAGCCTATTTAGAAGAAATAGGCAATTTTTATAAAACAAACATTTTCTTACTAAAGCAATAACTGAAAAATCTCTGTTTACTGCTCTTTTGGGTTAAATGTTAAAATAATTTTTGTCTCAGAGTTGAGATGTCAGCTAATCTAAGTTACTATAAAAAGCTACCTTATTTTTTTGGGAAATAAGCAAATATAAGCACATACATAGGTAACTGGACTCTTAATAACAGACACAGTGATATTTTTCTGAGGAGATAACTCTTAGCATTTGTCACTTATCAAATAGTAACAGAATATTTAGGGGAAATATTCTCTAATATTTGTGTTGAATGATGTACTGTTTAATGTTGGTTTGAATCTTAAAAATATGAACCAGAGGGCACGGAGTTCCTTTAGATGATACTGTAAAATTTATTTCTGCTGTAATTCAAAGAATGACATGCAGCTGTGACCCATTTTATCTGTCACATGTGTTAGTATTGGTTTTTCTACATGTATAATATCCAGCACAGCTGATAAAAACATACTTTGTAACGGTTTACCTTAAAGGATTTTTTCGTGAAATTTTAATACAGGGTTGATGCAAGCTTGGTCAGCTCTGACACTTTTATGCTGATTGGATCCATGGGTTTTGTGGGAGAACTGCTTTCTTAGATTTTCTGTTGTTAGCTGAGATTAAAATGAAATGCTATGGGAAGAACAAAGGTGAAAAGCTTGAGCACTGGGTTTGCCTAAGAGCTGCGATGCACACAGCTCCCAAGAAAAGAGAACTGTGCTTAAATGTTGTGGGGCAGGGTGGGGTGTCCACAGTGATGGAGCCCATACAGGATGTAATTCTAAATATTTGCTGTGCCACTTTGAGCTATGTAAGTGTGACAGCTGCCTTGTAATCCTGCCTCCATGCCAGACTGAGGTATTGAGTTTGAGTTTAACAAAAGCTCAGGTGCCTGTGGACATGGCTCATGAACCCTGTGTGGCCACACGGTACCCAGGCCGCTATTTAGTCATGTTGACTGAACTTTATTTAAAGAGAGTACAGCAGCCTCTCTATCCCAGAAGTAATATGGTAATTTAGACCTGACCTGCAGATTTCTATAGATTAATTCTGGGAGACTTCCTATAATACTATTAACTTCTTTTTATTTCCTTTTGAGCGTTTGGCGTGACAGGTGATACAGCTTGGGGCTTAAGCATTGAGTTCATCTAATTCCACAGAAGAAATTCATAGTGACCAGGAAAAATGGAAGAATGACACCTGGAGCCTGTTTTCTGGTGTTAGGGAAGGATTATGTATGGGGAAGGTGGTAACAGCAGATACTCGGTAGCCCATTCTTCCAGTGATCAGTGAGAAGTGGTTCCAGAAAGTTAAGGTAGTAATGATTGGGAAGTGAAATGGAGTAAGACTATGTAATCAAGTACAGTTGATTCTTCCTTATTTTCCTTATTTGTAGGAAGAAAAAGGGTGTAAATAGGTTAAATACACTTACTTCCCTACAAACCTCACTCACCAGGGTTGCAGACAATTGCTTAGGCAGAGACCCCTCACATAGCAGCTCCTTGGGGGTCAGAAGTACTTCAGAAAAGCTGTCCTGTTTGGGAAAGGCACTTTATGAGGAATGTGAAGGGTGTCCCCTGTCACCAATGCCTAAATTTTTTTTGGTCTCTTATTACCTCAATTTTCTTATATAATAAGCCCACATTTTGACAATGTGCTTTTCAAGTGTAACGGGCCAAATATGTTGGGACTGTGTTGCCTACTTTAGAAATATGCTCCTATGAAAGAGATTTTATCCTGCTTATGGAAACCAGTTATTACTCAGCACACACCCTTGACATTGTTTACATTCACGCAGCAGGTGGTCCAGGCTCTCTACCCTCTGTGTGCTGCTCCCTCCTTGGCAACTCTGCAGCAGGCCCTACAAGGACTCCCCTTGGCATCTGGTCTCACCATCCCATATGGTATGGTAGCCTGATCTGCTCTTTCTGTTCCGTTCAGTCTCAAGTGAAGATGTGTCTCCTCTCCAAGTCCAAACCCTCTCTCTGTGCTCTTAACCCTCTTCTCTCTCACATTCTTTAGGACTTTGTTCCTAAATCTTCTTGATTTCAGTGCCCACCTCGATGTGGGGCTTCAGGCAGTAAAGATGTTCAGGTTCTGTGGCAGAGACTACTACTTGCCTGCCACATGTCCAGGATTCTCCAGTTCCACTCAAGCAGCAATGGGACCAGCTAAAAGATTAAACTCCCAGCCTTCCTGGAGCTACGGTTTGCCAGAGGGAAGGGGGCAGAAGTCTGCAGGGAGGTCTGGGCAAGCTTCTTTGGAGAGATGGACAACTGGCATGTGCCCTTTTAGGGCTCAGTCCCCTTCTACTTTCTGGCTGAAGTGTAGATGTGATTGCCTCCCACTTGAGCTGTAGCGAATAGTTATAGAGGCAAGCAGTAAGGGTTGTGTTCCTGACAGCATGGCGGGGCCGCTGTAGCCCAGCTCTTACTGCCCTCTCTGGACCTCTTACTGAGAAAGAAGTAACTTCCATCCTGGTCCCTTAGTAGGAGCTGACACATTCCCTGATAAAGCCACATGCCCATTGTTGGAGAAACCTCAGCTGTTCTAGCTTTCTACTCCCTGCTTTCAAATTGACAGAACAGGAGAGCATCTGTGTCCTCTGCTTCTGCTTCATCATCACTGCCTCGCAGTAACTTCATACGTCAGACATTTCTAATGTGTGAAGGATGGGATACTCTGAACAGCGCACTTGATGATAATTCAAAATGTTGCATAAAACTTTAAATGTTCTTAAACGAGCCAACGAGCTGGCAAGACAGGAAAGCTTTCTCAGAGGCCACAAAAAAAGTGAAAGCAGAACTCCAGAAAGATAAGCAAGCACTCAGTTTGTTTTCTCCCTCAGGGGCATATACCACATCCTAGTGATGCTGACCTTCTGTTAGAACAGACTTGTGCAGACAGGTGGCAGGAGACAAGCCTGGGGTGCACCAAAGTTTGGGAGTCTTAGTAGGAGACCCCCGCTCCCCCCAACACAAATAGCTGGAATCCTAAACGACCACCTTCAGGATTAGAGGGAACTGGCACTAGTTGGAAAGGAGAAAAACATAATTGTCCCTAATAAGTCATAAGACTTCTCTCATGTGGATTTACAGTTTGAATTCTCATGGCATGTGTGGTCTAAAAACTTCTCAAGCCAAGTTGTTAAAGGGATCCTGCGTTGGTAATGTTCTTGAGCTCATGGCCAAAGTAACTGCATATCCAGAACACAACTTTAAATTAGTCATCAAATACTGTCTACAGATAAAGCTCTGAGGAACACGAGCTCATAGTCATAAATTGCAAACCTATAAAGGCATAGGATATCTCAAATAAGGGATCCTCAGTGAAAGCCAGGGGAAAACATAGTATATCAGAACTGCGAGAGTTAAGATAGTGGAATTTTAAGATATTAAATATAAAATGAATATATTTAATATGTTTCAGTAAGTTAAAGAACAAGAGTTTTTATATAAAAATAAATCCCTTATAAAAATAACCAATAGAAGAGAATTAATGAACTGGAAAGTAGAACCCAGTAGGTAGCACGCAGAGACAAATAAGTAGAAATATAAAAGATTGAGAGATGTGGAAGAGAAACTGAGAATGTCAAATGTGTTTCTTAGAGTTTTAGAAGGAGAGAATTGGAAATATGCAATACTCTAAAAGATAAAGACAGATTTTCCAGAATTGATGAAAGACACCAGCCTTCAGATTCAGAAAGCTATACAAATTCCAAGTGAGTTCATCACCAACAGACTCTCACTGAAGGAAATTTAGATGAACTTTGTGCAGAAGGACAGTGATCTGATAGGAGGTCTGAAGTTCAAGAAAGTATGGTGACAAAAAAAAAAAAAATTGAATGAACATTATCTTAATATAGATATTAAGAGCAAAATTAAAAACAGGATAAAACAGCATACCGATTGAAGGGGGCTTAATTGGAGTTCAAATGTTCTTAGACTGTTAAAAGGTATTCAAGAGGTTGGCAAAGATATACATGTAAAAATTTTTTACTGAAGGTAACGGAAAAAATGTATATAACTTTTTAAGTAGTGGGGCAGGGGTTGGGGACCTCAGTTAATTCAAAAGGAGACCAGAAGGAAGGAAAAAAAGAAGCAGAAAAAGCAGAACTATAGAAAGTCCAAAATTAAACAGTAATCACGATAAATGAAAAATGGATAATGCTTTTAATAGTCTTACCATATGATCCAGAAGTCATGCTCCTAGCTAATTAACCAACTGATTTGAAACATGTTCAAAAGCTACACACAAACATTTATAGCAGCTTTATTTATAATCGCCCCAAACAGAACAACCGAAATGTCTGTTAATAGATGAATGAATAAACAAATTGTGGTACATTCATACAATGGAACATCATTCAGTTACCAAAAACAAAACAAAACAAAACAAACCTAAAAACGAAAAACAATCAAGCCACAGTAAACACGAATGCTAAGTGAAATGAGCCAGTCTGAAAAGGCTGCATGCTATATTCTAATTATATGGCATTCTGGAGAAGACAAAACAATGGAGATATTAAAAAATCAGTGGTTGCCAGAGCTTTGGGGAAGTGTGGGAGGGCTGAGTAAAATGAAGCACATGAGATTTTTAAGGCAGTGAAACTATTCTGAATGGTACAATACTGTGGAGATACAACAATATGCATTTGTCAAAACTCATAGACCTTTGCAGTGCAAATAGTGAAACTTAATGTATGCAAATTAAAAAATTTCATTTAGAG